CAGTGATTTATTGCTTTTTGTAGTGTACGTGTTGTAAACAGGGTTTTCTGTAATATTTTGCATGAAAGCTCCAGTTTGGTTAAGATTAGAGAGAGATTATCCTAGGAAGAGTAGGAAATGATACAGGTGGAGTGCATGGTCAGGGCATAATGGAGTTGTTTTTTTCTCTGTTAGCCTGACAATAGACAAGACCCAAACTTGTGGCAAAAACAAGTACAACAACACAGAGAGCCTCATTCTGAAACTGTTGTGTCTCCCTTCCCAATTTAATGGCAAATGCAAGAGGCGATTCAAAGGATAAAACAAGATTCCACAAGACCCAAACTTGTGGCAAAAACAAGTACAAGTTGAGATGCTACAGCTGTTTAAATAAAGTGTAAGAAGTGGCCTGGGCCGGATTATCCAGTAGGCATGTCCAGGGGCCCATGCGCAGTTGGTTCATCCAGGAGTCATTCATTTTTCCTGCCTCTTTCTCACCTACACTGCTGAGGCTAGTGTGGGCTGAGTACTTCCAGTACTTTGCCAGAAAATTGGCATTTTTTTATTCAACAAATTTAGGATGAAAACACTGCAGTTAGTTTTTGGGACGTTCAGATGTTCAAGCTAAGTGGGAGGTAAAACATAGCAGCAGCAGCTCACTATCACAGTGGATTTATATCACAAGACTTTGAAGGTGCCAAAAGCTGCCCTCCCTAGAGGACGACCTGCTGCAGCTCCCAGCAGAAGAAGCGAGTGAAGGTGTGTTGTGAGGGTTACTTCTTTCAGTAGGATACAGCCAGTACTCTTCATCCTGTGTACACATTCCTTTATGTGTCTGATGAGAGAGAGGGGGGATCGTAGAAACTAGCTGGCTGGGGTTCACCGAAAGATTTGTGGCCGGGGACGCGTGTAACCTGGTGACATGGTTGTGAAGGTACCAGCTTGGTTGCAGATCTGAAAACGAAGAGCACAGCTGGTGGGCTTTTATTTTGTAGGAACTGAGGGGAAACAGCGTCGTATGTTGGTTGACTTGCGGGGGGTGGACAGAGCAGCAAACCGTTTGAAATCCCCTCTAGCGGAGCAGAGGGCGAGAGGGTCTATTCCTGCAGTCCAGCTCAAACATGGCGGGCTGTGGAGGAGACGTGATGTGCTCGTGGTCCGGACCTAAGACCCACGGCACATCCTCGACCCCGGCGTCCGAAGAGGGGGAGCTGAGGAAGAGAAGGAGAGCTTTCTGTCTGACCAGGATGAAGTCCCGTAACAGCTCCGAGAAGCATCAGCTTCAGCATCATCATGAGCCCGCCGCGAACAACAACAACAACACGCCGTTCATGATCCACTGCAAGGAGATCAAACACATCTGCAGCAACTGCCGAGGAGCCGAGCCGCTGGACGGTGAGACGCTTCAGGTTGCTTTGAGAGCAGGAGGAGGAGGAGGAGGAGTACTCCTGCTTTTTTAAATGATTGTGCTCATCGCTCCCTGCTTCTGTGGGGGTCGGGGTCAGCGCTCAGATCAGATCCCTGTATTGAATCTGTTTTACTTTACAGTGAGGTTAACAATAGCTGATGCTGTTTGAAAGCCTCTGCTGAGTCTTCTTCGCTGTCACGGGGCTGTGGTGTGGCTGGATCTTCACTGTAAGCGCATGATTTCAAGTCCAGTTTTTGTTTTGCTTCCCTGTTTGCATCGTGAAAGCAGAAGTTCAGGGCATTCCACGCACGGATCGCTATAGTTTCAGTTAATATAGAGAGCTGGGAAATTTTCTGGTTTTGTCTTACTGGATTCCACAAACCAAACATCATCGTATGGTTTAGTCTTTTCCCTTATTAACTGCTATAACAATCACTTCAAGTTCAGACTGTCGGTGGATTATTATCTGCACTGATGCTGATGAATTTTCTGTCAATACAGAAATCAATTTATGGAGCCATCACTGCAGCAGTTCATCTCAAACACACACAACGTCAATAGTTGCTCTGGCTTAAATAACAGAGATCAATAGCTAATCATAGAATCTGTTCATTTAATCAGCTTGTGGTTTTATTTGAAAACCTTAGCGTGTGGATCAGTGGAGGCTTTGTTCTTTAATAAAACTCAGCCACTTGATTTAAATTGCTTAATCAGCCACTGGGGATTTAGTGAGTAGCCCTTTCAAAACCTGGTTTTACTGGCACGATTTGTTTGAGAAGAGATAACCAGAACTCGTTTGGAGTTTTCTTGACAGAGGATCTTCAACAGATGATCAAAAACGTCATTTTTCAGTAAACTCAGTAATGAAGAAACTGGTTTGCAGTGACGGTAACATTTCCTCTTCATTTATTGTTTACTTGAAGATGTTTCAGACTGTTGGCGTTCTTGTTTTTCCCCCACAAATCAACACAAGTCAAGTCAATTGATGCAACAGCTGGTGCCAGCATAGACTGTATAAAAAGATGACAGTGGCTACTGCTGGTCAGTGAATTTCATGCCTTGTGATTAACAAGCCGTTAGTTTCAAAAACATTTGCTCATTGGCTAAGTTAGTGATGGTGAAAATGTTAATGCCATCCACTGTCAAGAAACCAGTGGATGGCATCACAACAGCTACTCACATCTTTTATATGGTCTGTGGGACTGACACTCTTTTGGAGACAGCCTCAAGTGGCCATCACAGGAACTGCAGTTTGGGGGGGTGGCGAGTCTTATTTTGCTTGATGCCCAGTAACAAGGCCATTTTAAAAAAAAGAGAGAGAAACAAAAACTAAAACTATGAATCAGCTAAGAAATTCAGTCGTAACACAGGCCTTCCAGCATCGTTGTTTTGGCTGAACCAAGTTGTTTTCGAGCTTGTTGTTCAGTGAGTCAGTGTTTTGAGGCATCAGTGAGATAACAGACCCCAGGTCAGACTGAAAGAATGTCTCCCTGCAGTGTGAGTCTGAGCCCTCTGACTCACTGCTGCTCTCGCTCCACTGCTTGTGGCGAGGGGGGGTTGGACTACACCAGGAGGGAGAAGACACCTTTTGTGTAAGGAGACAAAAGATGAGACAAACACAGTATGTCATCACCTCAAAATCTGCATAGTTTTGGGGGGGTTTTGCAGTCGAATGATGTCACTGTTGTCCTGGAAACACTAATTTTACTGCTTTAGGTGCTGGAGACGCTTCATTGAGAGAGCCTTTGTGCAAGGGAGGTTTCCGTGAGCTCTGACGTTCACACAGGGATGCTACACAGACTCAGAGTGTCTACTGAGGGGTTAGGGAGGGGAGGATGAGGGGGGCTGACTGGATGTTGTTGAAGGAACTCTCAATGGCAGGTACAGTGTTGGTGCAGATTTGAACTGACATCTCTCTTCCAACAAGGCCTCCCGAAGGATGTCATCGCCTCTCGTCTGCAGCTGCCTACCAGTTTACACATGGCTGGTTTGTCCATCAACTGCTGATAATGTTTCAAATAGAGGAGAAATCACTGGCAAAAACACAGCTTCAAAGATTTTGACTGAAAGGTAGACTGATGGTCAAGTTGTACTGTATTTTTGTAATAGAACTGAAGGCAGTGATAATATACAACAGTCTTTTATCCATCCATCATCCATTGTCTCCTGCTTATCGGGGTCCACATCACAGGGACAGCAATCTAAACACACATGTCCAAACATCTCTCTCCTTAGCCACCTCATTCTGGGGAGCAGTCAGGCTTTCCCAGGCCAGCTGACAGATGTAATCTCTCCTCAGTCTGCCTCCATTTGGCCATGCCTGAAACACCTCACCTAGGAGGCGTCCAGAACCTCCACATCTGTCTGCTTTTGATGTGGAAAACAAGCATCTTTGACTCTGAGCCGCACTTGGATTTCTTCTTCGCGATCTGGATATGAAATATTTACATGATTTTGCAAAACATTCCTATGTTTTACTGCCAGATTTTCCCTGTCATTCCTCAATTACTTGTACAACATTCCCAGTTGAATTAAGTTTACTTCACCCAAATTCGAAACATTCAATGTGTTTGGATTCATTTCCATCTTTCCATTCATCTGTCTGACAAGTATCTGTTTGCACTGCATGCTTCTGTCGGCCAGTGTTTGTGTGCAGGTTTACATCCTCTGCTGCCTGCTGAAATGTTGCCTTCCTTCCCCCCCTTTATTGCTGCTGGCTCTGCCCTTGTTTTGTAGAGGATGTTGTGTGTGTGTGTGTCTGTGTGTAATGGGAAAGGTGTAATTTCAAATGGAAAATCGGAGCATGCTGTATAGAGTGGCCTCCAGCATGATTACTTTGAGGAAAGTCCCTGTGGGGTGGGGGGAATTGTAGCTCAGAGGAAGAGGGTTAATGGAAAACATGGGAAAGGGAAGGCTCACAGTTGAAGAGGTTATAATTCTATCACATTTTCACAACTGAAACCCCCC